ACATACCATGTACCACGTCCGGGTCTGCATCGGCATCCTTTTGGGTAAGGTTGTAAACTCTGCCCTGGATTGGAGGCCTCCCTTGATTCTGGTTCCTAGGACACTCCCTCGCATAGTGCTGGGCACTGCCGCATATGCGACAGGTGTTGTTGAGGCGGTAGCAGGGTCGGTCCCCATGATCCCTGCCGCAGTACTGGCAGATCTTCTCACGAGCTGCCCCCATAGCCTGAGGAGGGCCCTGAGCGGCAGGCCTGGGTCTCTTGCTGGGTTGGACAGGCATGGTAGGCGCTGGCCTGCGGAGCGGGGCTGAAGGTCGGGAACTTCCTGTTAGCTGAGGGCGGGTGTCGAAGCTCCTTTCTATGATCTGCGCCTTTGCCAGGACTGCCGAATATGTCTCGAGCTCCATCACCAACAAGTGCTGTCTGATCGCCAGGCGGAGACCCCACTGGAATTTCCTGGCCTTTCGGCCCTCATCCAACAATGTCTCCGGGGCATGTCGGCCCAGCTCCAGGAACTTACGGGCATACTCCGACACTGTCATATTACCCTGGACCAACTGAGCAAATTCAATTTCCTTTAAATGTTGGATGTGCTTAGGGAGATACTCCGCATGGAAAGCCGCTAAGAACTGCTCCCAAGTAACTGGTACAGGCAGGGTGGCCCGCTTGAGCTCCCACCAGCGTACTGCTTCCCCTACCAGCATGTAGGAGGCAATGGCAGCCCTCTGCTCAGGAATTACTCCCAAGGTCTCAAAGGCTCTCTCAGTCTCCGCCAGCCAGTATTGGGCCTCTTCAAAAGAGGATCCCCCCGAAAAAGTAGAAGGGTTCAGTCTCCTGTACCTCTCTATGAAGCCAGGGTCGATCAAGGAGGGAGCGGGGTCCCGAGGTAGAGGGACTGGGGCCGGCTGAGGGTGAACTGGGGGACCCTGTGGTGGCGCCTGCTGATGGGGTGGGGGCACTGGAATGTGCTGTGGCGGTACCTGTTGGTACCGTGGCTGTGGTACCGGGTCGTACCGCGGCTGTGGTGCCGGGTGGTACTGTGGAGGAACAGGCTCCTGCCGGGGTGGCTCGGGATCAGCCTGCTGTAGCGGGGGCTCAACCTGCGCTAGCGGAGGAGGTCCGGGTAACTCCCTTCTCTCCTCTTGCCTTCGCTGGGCAGCTACGAGAGCCTCCACCATCTCATACAGTCTGTCAAGATTCTCCCGAAGCGAATTATCCTGAGCCGCTCGGTTTAGTGGGGGCCTTCCTCTCCTCATTCCCGTGTACTTGCATTCACAAGGAATGATTGAGTAACGATATATCGGTGAGTATTTATCTAAGGCACTATTGTGTAAGGATGGGTCCGAGGAAACGCGGCTCTGATACCAACTGTAACGGCCCCGGAAATATTAAAAGAAATGAGTATTTAAATATATCGAATGCGGAAGCGAGATCAAAATTTCAGTTAACATCCCTTACACGAAAAAACCAAAAAAAAAACGTACTTAAAATATAAAAGGTTAAACTAACTAAGAAAGAAAACTCGAAAATAAACTATGCGTATGACTACAGAGTCTCTAGGCATCCCCTTCGTCGTCCTCCTGCGGAACGGGCTCGGGAACCATGTCTTCCTGATCTGAAATGGTTAATTAAGGAGTGAGCTACACTAGCCCAGTAAGAACATCACGATATCTCACCGTCACGGAGATAAAGGTGGGTAGAAAACCACAAAAAGACCAATGGAGCATAATTTACAATAAACTCGTTTATTAACATGAAAACCTTTACCATCCACTTACCTCGGTGGAATTTATGAAAACAATATAAGAAAAATAATAACATTATCACAATCATGGAATAATATAAGCTGTAAAACATAGCACTTATCACGCCTTTTGTAATTCAATCATTATACAACATATCCTTTTCTCATTTACCAGCCTACTAGTATCCGTGGGGGTCCATAGGGATTCCGCTACCCGTTAATCTTTTAACATTCATAATCAGTTTCCAGGGCCGTCCCCATACCCCGTCCGGTATGGGCGCCAAAACCATGAACCTCAATACCCCGTCCGGTATGAGGGTGAAACGGGCCGTCTCCATACTCCGTCCGGTATGGGCGCCAAAACCATAAGATCTCCATACCCCGTCCGGCATGTGAGACCACAATCCCGGTAGGGTTCCCTACGGACCTGGTCCGTCCACCATCTCCCAGGATATCTAGTCAGGCTAACCCCATCATACAATTATCAGTCTACACAATCTTTCATTTTCCTTTTCCTCAATAAGCATCATCAATTCACATACAAACAAGCAAACAGTAGTTCATGCCAAACAGACAACATACAGTATCGGTTTTTCAGTCATTCAACCCATGATTAATAAAAACGTAGTAAATGCACACAAATATGTAAAATAAACACATCAAACCTCATTTTGCATTTAAAGCTGTAAACAGGCCAAATAACAGTAAACCACCAATCACACTAGACTCGGGCTCCATTAGCTACCTTAAGCAATTTCACACATGCATTAATTCAAGAAATACCGTTTTATCATTTTGAACTTTAATACCGTGATAGAAAATAAGGTGAGGGGTCCTTACTTATTTTCGGGATCCGAATACGATTCACAGTGCGCCTGCAGGCTGTCCCTAATTTTCCCTGAATTTTTCCCGGGGAACTGAAACACGCTAACAGTACCTGCACGTGTTCCAAAAAAAATCCAAATTAGGCCCAGGGCCTCTTTCGGCCCAAATCGTAACTCCGGCACGGCGGCTCCGCCGTGCTCCGGCGACGGCGCCGCCGCTGGCGGCGGCGAGTCGCCTCGGGTTGGCTGTTTTCGGCCGTTTTCGGCCGAATTCGGCCACACTCGCATCGGTCCTTGTCAGAAAACAACCCTAGGGCCCTCGGGGGGCCAAAAAATCACGGAAAAGCGGAGCTTACCGGCGGCGGCGCTCTCGGGTACGGCGACCCTCCGGCGAGGTTCGTGTTTTGGTGATTTGGCTTCGGTCAACCTGTAGAGAAAAGAATGGTGATCACGGTGATATAAAAATTGCATCGAACGGAGGCCGGGAAGGGCCTCGTCGGAGGCAAAAACCGAGAGGGGGCGCGGCGGCGCCGCTGGGCTTCGGCCGCGTATTTCGGCCGTTTGGCCGGGATTTCGGCTTCGATTTGGCCATAGGAGGAATCAGTGGGGAAAAACGAGTCGGGGGTATGAAATTTACCTCGATCAGCGGTCGGAAATTTCCCCGGTGCGGCGGCGAGTGGCGGCGGGTGGCGGCGGTCGGCCTCTGGTTCGTCTTCTCCGGCGAGCGGCTGGCGGCTAGGGTTTGTGGTCTGGTGTGGGGGTTCTATTTATAACCCCTTGCCTTTTGATCACAGCCGTTCATTTCATTTTAATCTGGGCCGTTCGTTTTTGATTGAATCTGGGCCGTCCGTGCGTTTGAATCTGGGCCGTCCGATCGCGCGATTGATCTGGGCCGTCGGATCGCACCCTCGCGGATCGCCAACGTGGCTCCTTTTGGAGTGACGCGATCTTGCCACGTGGCAGGCCTCGGTTGGCCGGGACTGCTGACCGGGCCTGCTGACATGGCTGCTGACGTGGCCCCCCCCTTTTTTTTTTTTTTTTTTTTTTTTTTTTTTTTTTTTTTCTCCTCCTTTCCGGGTGCTACAATTTTAATATAATACTTCTGGTTTATAATAATCTACTGTATATTTGAACTATTCAATTATGACATGTACTTAACTTTTTTAAAAAATAATTACATATATTTTAATTACTATATAGTTAATTAAATATATTTATAAAATTACAAAATCTATTAGAATTAAGAGACACGACTGATTATGTAGGGATGCACGATAATCATAAATTTTAGTCTTATAGTTTTAGTTTTATAGTTCCAAAAGGGAGGACGTGCCCAAAAAAAAAAAAAAAAAGACTCACCGAGCAAAATGTTGACAAATTGTCCGTTTTTATTATGGAAAAATAATTGACTAAATAGAAATAATTTTTCTTTTAATTGAGATAAAAATTATATTTTAAAAAATAAATTCTTTTAAAGAAATGACTTTGTACTAAGATTAGTTTATTATCAATAGTTTTATATTTATTATAAACTATTTAAATTATTTTTATTTTCAAATTACTTAATAATAAATCAAAACTACATATTATTAACATAATTTAAATTATTTTTTTTTATAGAAAACTAATACTATTTTTAACTCAACTATAATTGTATATGACATCAAATTTAATTGGATTTATTTTTTCAACATTATTTAATAACATAAAATTTAAAAGATGGCAACCCAATAAGTAATAAATCAACAAAGTTTTCTACGTAGTATACTTTTGAAATTAATAAATAAAATTTTAAATTATAAAATAAAATGAATGAATTCTTAAATTATATTCTCAATAAATTAATGCACATGGTCTATTACCAAACTTTATGTTCAAGCATTAATTATTTAAAGTCTCAACCATTGATTTCGTGAGAAAAAGTTACACAAATTGGCCAAATTGCCGTACTTTCTGGTTTCTTCAATTATTTTATTGATTTTTATTTTTATATTTATGTACACAATCACTTCAAATAAATTAAGCAAAGATTTTAAAGGTATATAGACTAAATCATCAACTAAATTTAATTAATTATTTAAAAATTATGAATTTAAAATTAACTCTTTTAAAAGTATAATCAACTTTTTTTTTTTTATAAAAAAATTATAAGTTAATATATATGATTACATATAATTATAACTATATATAATTGCTGCTATCCAACTTCCCACACTCACCCTCGCCCCTCACAATGCTAGCTATAAAGTAAGGAACGGGGCCCAGTAAAATATTTAAAATGGGCTCTGGTCTAAATAAAAGATGGGCCCACCAATCCACTTCCTATAGAGTGCCAATTGGCAGTTGAAGAAGGGAGGAAATTCGAAGGACTCAAAAAGGAAAAGCAAAGAATAAAAACCCTCCCGCTTTCAGGAGTCTCCAGAGTCGCTTGTGGTTGTTATAATCTTCATCATTAGCATCTGTATTTTCAGTTTTCCGGCCGTCTTTTATAGTTTATGTGTTGGATAAAGTAAGCAATGACTATGCATCAGTTGCGAGTAATGGATAGAGAGCGAGACAGGAAGATGGGAAAGAGAAATATCGAGGTCGGGGATGCGAGAAGAATGTGGAAGGAAGTCCTTTCGAGGCGGGGAAGCGAGAAAGATCCTCACTATTTTCCTCACTAATCTTATTAAATCCGATCGAATTTCCTCCATTCACTTCTCCGATCGCTAAAGAAATAGTTTCTTCTCAGTGAGGCTAAGTTAACTTCCTGCAGGTGCTTTGTTTTTCGCCTTAACATGAAACACATTATTTTGATTGCTGAAGGTGATGGAACGGCAATGGGATCATCTTGTTTGATCTGTTGAAGTTGTGGATCCTCGCGTTTCTGCTTTTGTTTGTTGCTAAATCTGTGATTAGTGTTTGTGTTTGGAGAGAATCAAGTAGAGATTCAATTGACTATGCATACGTCTTTCGTGTGCATTTACTTCGTTCAATGTAGTCAAGCACTTCGATTGAAGAACCATAGAGGTCCCCGGTTTAGTCACATAATTAGGTTGACTTGATAGAGGGGCGTTTTTGTTTTCTGGTGCGTCTGATTATTAGCTGTTGTTTATGATGTTCAGCTAGCCGCGGGTTGTGAGGGCTGCCGTCTTAGCGCGAAGCACAAGCAGCATGGACATGGACATAAATAGATTTTCTGGTGGCTGTTTATCAGAGGTTCATATGATCATTACATTAGTCTGGGGTACAAATACAAGCAGGTAAATGTTCATGCCCAAGATCTTTGTTGTCATGCTTTTCTTCATCAAAATGCTTTTGTATTCCTCTGACTTCTCTATTAAATGTCTTAGGTGGTGGTTATGAATTGCCTGGAAAGGTTTACAGGATTGCCATGTCTCGTCTTCATAGGCAGCATCTCACATTCTAATTGCTGCTGGAACTGAAGATGTTCTATTCTCTGTGATATTGCTTCAAGGACATTCGCTCAATAAAAGGTATGGTCACTTTGGTATGTTGAGAAATTAATCCCATTAATCTATTTTCTTTTTCATTTGATTTGCAGCAATTCACTTTGTTTTTCCCTTTAATTTTTCACTAGCTCAAGTCTGTTACATGATGTATGCCATGCAAGAGAAGATCAAACCTATCATGGTTGTTTGGGATTGCTTAGTTGGGTTCCTAATTTAGTTAGATTTCCTGTTAGGATTTATGTAACCCACAATTGAATCTAGACTTGTAGTTAAGGGTGAGGAATTTAAATCCAGGGCTTCAGAAACAAGGGGAAGAATTTATATGAAAGCTGAATGCATCAATTGGAGAGAATAGTTTTAGTCTTGAAATTTGTGAACCAGTAAACCATATAGGTACCAACACCTTTATTTCGGCAGAACTTATAGTCTTATATAGTTTTTGTTATTCATAACTGAAACTAGTGCATATATGGTAGCATGACTTCTATTTAAAAAAAAAACACTGTGGCATGACTTATGGTTATTTTTTTTCCAAGTGTATTATAAAAGAATATAAAAGTAGATAAGGATTACTTTTGTAAAATATTAATGATTTATAATATAATAAGATAATACTTTAGTTTCATCTAACTTGAGTACAAAATTTCTGGTGTTTGGTTGAGCTGGTGCATAAATTTAGTAAATACATAATAGTGAAGCTGCCATGATCCAAAAAACCATTGCGAGAGAGAGAAGGTTACTTTCCATATATAAAAAGTATCTATAGTTAGAGCTGTTAGACATTAATAATTGTCAAGATTCTGAGAAATGCTTATCAAGTATCTTTTGAAATATAGGTTGTCTTTTTCCAATGTCCTTGGTTCTCTTTATTGACCCTCTAATGCTTATTGAGCTTAATATATAGCTTGCCCTTGGCTATCCTATATCAGTATGAAAATTTTCATGGGCAATGTGGTCAGTCTCATAGACGTTTGACCTTTTCTCAAAGAAGTTTGATTTTATCTTGAGATTCGGCTTTCTCATTCTGTAAATGAGACATGGGATTTCTGGCAAGTAGTTGAAACTAATTGCAAATCACCAAGTACATTAGGACAAAAGTCTTGATGTGCAATATGGCCATCTTCTTAGAAGTTGGATCTTATTTACTAAGATTCGGGTTTCTGGCAAGCAGTAAAAGTAAGGATTTTAGTGATTGGAAGCACAACTGCTTATTCTTCTACCTTATAAATGATGAGGATAATGCAACAGGATATGGTAGAAGAATATCAATAGAGATTTAAGAAGGAAAAAGTACATTATTTTCAATTTGGTAGATTGCATAATAGTATTGGAGTAGTCTTAATCTTCACTAACTTAGCAAAAAAAATTCCTACTCCGAACTTGTTTATTAAATATTGATCTTTCATTATAGTTCACAAGTCTTTTAAATGAGTATGACTTCATACATCGTAGAACCATACTGAAATGGTATTTTACCCTCTTTTAGAATTGATACTGGGGGGAAAAAGATCCGCCTTGAGGATACCAGTTTTCTTATACTATGCAGCACAAGTAATGCTACGAGCATTGTCGTTGCCATACAGTATTTTATGCAATGATGGAAGTCGTTGCAGGCACTTAATATAATGGGATTATGGACAAAATTTATTGCAATGACTTTCATGTTTTAGCAATGACATTGTGCGTTGCCAAAAAAAAGAGTGCATTTTTCTTGTAGTGGCATGTGCAATCAAATGCATATCCCACAAGAACACTCTCCGGTGTATGTGATAAGATAAACCTTGTCATCAATGTATAATGAGCTTGGTAGGTTTCTTGTCATGTTCTTTATTCTCATGGTAATATTCGCTCTGCATAATTGGAACTGCCTTAGAAAGTGTAACATTTCCAATAGTCTTCGTACTCTTGGCTGTTCTTTTCGTAAATGACCTTTTTCTTTTAGTCCACAATCAGGTTCCTGATAAAACCTTTGTCAGGAAGCCAAAATGAAGACCCTAAACCTAAACCTAAACCATCATATAGGAAATCTGCTAGAGGACATGGTGTAAAAATTGGTCGAATTCCTTCCGAGGAATCAGCTTGTACACAGATTCTGGAAATTTATGGAGATACTAGTTGCATGCATACTTTGTAATACATAACCTGATTATACGAGATTGGAGAGTCATGATCTTAAATATCCTTGACTGCAGATGCTTGAGCATGCACCGTGATGTGGTCTAGGAGCATGTTGTCTTCATTGTATCTGTGTGTTTTTCCTTACATGCTGAGTTGCATATGATAACGTATCATATAATTTATATAACAAGATATTTTAGCATGTTATATAAAATTGGATTAGACTAGTGGGTCGAACTGGTCTACGTACAAAAGGTGGTATAACCGATCTAGTTCGGCCAATTCTTTTTATTTATTTTTTGAAATGCTTAAAATTAAATTAATTTGATAATAAATTGAGTTGTAATTTTAAAATGGACGATTCAAAATTCCTAAAAACTAAGCCCTTAGACCCAATATAGAACTATGATTAATTTTGAATGTCTTGTTTTTTTTTTTTTTTTATATTAAAATTTTTTTAACACTATATTATAGATATTTTAATGTTAATAATTAGTATAAATTGCATTTTGTCTATTGAGATTTGTTCTATTATATAAAAACACCTAATTGTTTTTTTTTTAAATTTGAACAGAAAATATCATAATATAAACGGTTATATACTTTGTCTCATTTTTATATACCATGTTAAAGATTTTGTAACCTTTTCCTGTGACCTCATAATATATTATTAATATTTAAGATAGATACACCATTCACTTCAAATATATCTAAAAACAGAGGATTAATCATTAACAAGAGAAAAAATAATTATTTTACTTGTTTTTTCACTGATCTTGTCAATTTTTTGTCATATTTTCTTTAATTGATTATTATTTATTTATATATATTTTTTTGTAAGATGTAATTTGCATGTATTATGGTCTAACTGTGGTTACATACTTAATTTAAATAAATTAAGTTATTTGAATTTTTTAAACCACATAAAAATATTTATTTATATTATATATGAAATTATTGGTTTTGTTGAAATTTTTAATAATTTTAGATTTAAAATTTTAAACTTTTTTTAAAATTTTTAAAATAAAATTTTATCGTGTAATCTAATAATAATAATAATAATTGTACATTATAAGAAAACATAACCATTAGTAATAGTTTCCTTCTCGTCTCAAAACTGAATAAATAATAGTTTCCTTAAACGTTCGTTTAAAAACTCGAACTAGCTGACTCTCCGATTCGAACTCCTATTAATATGAGGTCTGAGTCAATTAGGAAAACAATATATATAACACCTCAGACTACAGCCGACTCCATTATAAAATTAAAACTACTTCAGCCGTCTTTTCTCCTCACTCCAATCTCCTTCTCTTCTCTACCATGGATGTCGACGTCAATAACGTTAAAATTGAAGCAGATTACTGTCCAGAAGCGGTGCTAAACTGGTTGCATTGCTCTGGAAAGAAAAGAGGAGCTTCCGATTTATCCTTGAAAGCCAAGAAACACCTTCTGGCTATCGGATGGGTTATTTGGTACGCGGCGAAGGCGGAGAATATACGCGAGTTACGCTATAAGTCGCCGGCGGGGAAGGTTTATTACTCTCTAGTAACAGCCTGCAAAGCCTGTATCAGCGATGTCGACGGAGGGTCTCGAGCCCTGGCCGTTTCTTCTTCTAATGATCCCAGACCACCCGAAAGCTCTGTTTCATCCAACACATTACAGGGAAATTGCGATTCTTGCGTTGGGACTGAAAGAAAAAGAAACTTTTTGAACTGCGATTCTACCGAAGATTTGAAGAATGGCTTTCTTGACCATCAAGATTCTGAATTAAACGATTCGAAGAGAGCAAAGCCGATCAGGAAGCCGAAGCGACCGCGTCAGAATCCTAAACAAGAGAAAAAACTTGAAGTTCAAGAATCAAACAAAAGAGTACGGCTAGATTTGGTGTCATCTCCCGCTAATGGAAATTCCAGATTAATGGTGCTGTCTTGGTTGATTGATAACGAGGTTGTGCCGCTTGGGGCTAAAGTGAATTACCGTGGAAGAATGGCAGAAGGGAAGGTGACTCGTGAAGGTATCCAGTGCAATTGCTGTGAAAAAATGTTTACCCTCACAGGCTTTGAGTTTCATGCTGGCAGCACAAACCACCGACCGGCTGCTAACATTCTGTTGGAAGACGGAAGGTCTTTGAGAGATTGCAAAGCTCAAGCTCACCGTATCAAAAGTCAGAAATCAAGCACCCAAGAAAAGAAAACCAGAAATTCGAATATTGATGTTGAAGTCCAGAGCAATAATGTGAACCAAGATATGAATGATCATATTTGCTCTGTTTGTCTGTTCGGGGGGGAATTGGTTCTGTGTGATGGTTGCCCTTCTTCATTCCACATGACCTGCATCGGCTTGGAGAGTTTTCCTGATGGGGACTGGTTTTGTCCTTCGTGTTGTTGTGGAGTTTGCAAAGAGAGCATTTCTGGACAATGTGGTATCCTCAGATGTGATCAATGTCAACAGAAATGTCATATTAGCTGCCTACAGAGCAATCTCGACAACTGGTTTTGCAGCACTCAGTGCCAACGTGTGTTCTCTAACATTCATGATGTTTTAGGAAAATCAGTTGATGTGGGAGAGAAAAACTTGACGTGGACATTGCTCAAATCCATGGAATCTGACAAACCTTGCTTTGATCCTAAAAACATCAAGGGATTTACAAAGAACCAAACCAAGCTTCACCGTGCTCTCGATGTGATGCACGAGTGTTTTGATCCATCAAAAGATGCTTACACAGGGAGAGATATAGTGGAGGATGTGATTTTCAGTAGAGGGTCAGAGTTGAGCAGATTGAACTTCGAAGGCTTCTGTGTAGTGGTGCTTGAAAAGAAATTAAAGGTGGTTTCCGTGGGCGCTGTAAGAATACACAGAGATGTGGCAGAAATACCTCTTGTTGCCACCCGGTTCAAGAACCGGAGACACGGGATGTGCCGCATTCTTATGAATGAGCTCGAGAAGCAGCTATTGGCAATAGGAGTACAAAGGCTAGTTTTGCCTGCTACTCCTACTGTCGTAGATACATGGATCAATTCCTTTGGGTTTTCGAGGATGACAGATAGTGAGAGAGGAGAATTTCAGAACCACACGTTCTTGGATTTTCAGGGCACTGTAATGTGCCATAAGTTCTTGAAAAATACCAATTCGCCGAACCCAACAGAGAAATCAAGTCTAACGGAAGAAACTGGAAAACAAGTAGATGATATAGGAGATGAGTTTGATTGGCGCAGTTTCTTGAATGACTTGTAAATTTACTCTCTTAATAAACCTGCATTCTTGAGGCCAAACGGTCAATGTACCTATCTGGGTGTCATAAACATCCAGAGCCACCTTGAAATGTAAATTTATGTAATTGGTATCTCTCTCTAGCTATAATGAATTCTGTGTGTCTATATATGGACACAAAAGACACATCCTCTGGAACATATCTTAATCAATGATCATGTATACATAGATATACATATATATATGTAATGTTTGTTTCAATTATATTTGTTAACAATTTAATGGCCTGCAGTAACTGCATATTTTGATGCTTGATAAATAAGTGTGCATGTAGATCAAATAATTTTCAATGCAAAGATATTCATGATGTAGTTAACTATTGTCTTTAGAGGGTATTAGGGCTATCATTAGATTAACTTATTAAATAATTATAAAAATTTCAAAGGTATATGCTATATAACATATAATGTAGTAATACCAGTAAAACAATGTGGAGTTTTGCCAGTACAACGTAAAAGGTATTATTATGACTACATGGTAATGATTTTGTTACCTTATGCTTGAACTTGATTTTGTCTTTGCGGTGATACAGTTCCAGAATTTTGAAAAGAAGAGAGGTTTAAGTTAATTTGATTTATCTTGGTGGTTTTTGTTCTTGTCGATGAGAAAAAAAGAAGAAAATCTATTTACTGTTTCGTTGGAGTTCAATTTTATTGAAAATTAAGAACTGGAAATTGAGAATTATATAACATGGTAAATTTTTTTTATTTGTTTATTTTGTTGCAGTTAATTTTGCTTGTTTTATGAATTTGCTTTCTTTTTCTACATGTGCTTCCGGTGTCAATTTTTATTTAATTTTTTATATCTTAAATATTTAATAGGTAAAATTTAATAATAACTTGCATAGGTTTAGAAGACCATGAATTGTAATTTGGATAGGTTGAGAATTATAAAAATTTTTGGTAGTATTTGTATTGTGTTTTAGTTTTATTATATGAAATTATAGTTTAAACCGAATTCAATTATTCTCCATAAATGTTGTTTCTACACAGAAGATATCAGAGAGAGATTCTGAGGGAAATAATCCTGTTAGGAGCAGCAATTCCGGCGATCATAAACTCTGTTTTTTTTTTTTTTTGAGTTTTATATGTTCTCTATTTTAATCCAATCTGATCTGCCTTGTTTAAATCTATTTCTTGTTGTAGACTCAATATATATAATATGCACCTCAAACATTATAAATATATAATGCAATTATAAATAAAAATCATCTCAAAAGTTACTCTATGTAAAAATTGCAACACTATTGCTTGTGTATTCTCGCAATGGCCACACAGATCATATCGTCTCCATTTTTAACTATTGCTTCGCAGAAGCCTTTGAAATTGACACGGTTCAGATCCGATCCTCTGCTGAAAATCAATTACTTTGTCACATCGTTCGTTGTATAAACATCTTCAGATTTCTCAAGACGCTTGTGAACAACCTCCACTTTGTGTTGATTCTTTCTGAGTTCCTCAATGTTCAGAAAGATGGTCGCCGAAATTACGGGAATTCCATAAGCAACTGTGAGCATATACGGAGATGTGGCAAGAACACCCACAAGGTTTTGGTACCAACAACAGGAAATGTGGCCAAATACTGATGAAAGAGCTGGAGAAGCAACTTTTGAGAATAGGTTGATACACGAGTGAATTATGTTAGACATTCAACTTTATATATATATATATATATATTAACATATAGATTACGTATATAATAATGTGTGTAGTGCCTCGTAAAAAAATTATTATTTTATACTACAACAAATTCTGTAAATTATATTCAATTTATTGATATACTCGTACTAAAATTCAACTTATTTGGCCAAGTAACTTTTTTATTTTATATTCTCCAATTTAATTAAATTTAAACGAGTTAATACATGTTAACATACTTTATATATATATATATACACACACAAATATAGAATATTCAATTTTACATTATAAAATACACACATTTTTATAATTATTGAGTTTATAAATATAATTAATTGCACTTTTAAATACAAACAAAAATAATTAAATCATCTGTAAATTAAATTCTCCTGAATAATCAATTCAATTAAATACCTAATACACAGTGGGTTTGTTCTTATTAAATTAAGCCCGATTGTTTCAGCCAATGGGCCACGGGAATCAGCCTTGACGAGCTGACCAAAACAAGCTTTCTCAATTAAGCCCAATCCATTTACTTTCTTAAATTAAAATTCCAGGAAATAACAATTATACCCCTCCTCCCTCCTCAGTTCGGAGTCCGACGCACAGATACATACACATACATATAACGGATCTTTCCCCCGCCAAAAAAGGTTCATCGCCATTAATCTTGGAAGCGTCACACTCACTTTTTTTCAATTAAAAGAAGAAACTTTAATTCCAGCACAAACATTATTTTCATTCATCACTTCGAAATCTCTTCTTCTTTGAGTCTTTATTCAACTCTGGAAGAGCCAGCCATGAACGACACAATTATAGTAAAAGTGGAAAAAGTGTACCGTCCAGAAGCCATCGTGCAGTATTTGCATCGAAATGCAAGGCAAGAACCTCCGGATTTGACGTTGGAAGCCAAAAAGCATCTCGCAGCCCTTGGTTGGGTCTTTTGGTACCCAAAGACGATCGGAAAAAAGAAAAACCTGCGCATCTCTTCGCCGGCGGGAAACTGCTATTTCTCTCTAAGGGAAGCTTGCGAAGCCTGTATCGGTCAGGTTAATAATTCTTGCATTGATTTTTCCACAAGAAGGGGGAGAAAGAGAAAACAATATCAATATTCTGATAAAGATTCCGGTGAGCGTGGCGATGATCAAGGTAAGAGCCTGAACGAGCCAAGAAGAGGGAAGGTGGTCAAGAACCTGAACGAGCCAAGAAGAGAGACTGTGATCGAGAACCAGAACGAGCCAAGAAGAGTCAAGAATCTGAACGAGCCAAGAAGAGGGAAGGTGGTCAAGAACCTGAACGAGCCAAGAAAAGAGACTGTGATCGAGAACCTGAACGAGCCAAGAAGAGGGAAGGTCGTCAAGAACCTGAACGAGCCAAGAAGAGGGAAGGTGGTCAAGAACCTGAACGAGCCAAGAAGAGAGACTGTGATCGAGAACCTGAACGAGCCAAGAAGAGAGACTGTGATCGAGAACCTGAACGAGCCAAGAAGAGGGAAGGTGGTCAAGAACCTGAACGAGCCAAGAAAAGGGAAGGTGGTCAAGAACCTGAACGAGCCAAGAAGAGAGACTGTGATCGAGAACCTGAACGAGCCAAGAAGAGGGAAGGTGGTCAAGAACCTGAACGAGCCAAGAAGAGGGAAGGTGGTCAAGAACCTGAACGAGCCAAGAAGAGAGACTGTGATCGAGAACCTGAACGAGCCAAGAAGAGGGAAGGTGGTCAAGAACCTGAACGAGCCAAGAACATCAAGATTCGAGCAAGAAACCACGCCGTCTTCTTGGAGACGGAAACCTAAAACAGTACTCTCCACGTTGATAGACAACAGGGTTGTGCGTATTGGAGATAAAGTGCACTACCGTGGTACTTCTGGTTGTAAAAATCCGTCAGCAGAGGGGGAGATAAGCAGAGAAGGGATAAAGTGCAGTTGCTGTTCAAAAGTTTTTACTCTCACCGGCTTTGAGTCACACACTGGCAACACAAATCATCGACCGGCAGCTAACATTTTATTAGAAGATGGCAGGTCTTTATCGGATTGTCAAGCTCAACTGACCGCCAAAAAGAAGACTGAAACTCATGAAGAAATCCACCGAACTGCCACCAAAAGGATCAAGACCAGAAGTGATAATAAGAAAGATAGTATATGCTCTATTTGTCTCTTTGAAGGTGAATTGATTCTGTGTGATCGTTGTCCTGCTGCGTTTCATCAGAGTTGCATCAATGACTTCAGTGGATTTTCAAATGGGAACTGGTTTTGTCCTTTGTGCATATGTGAAATTTGCAACCAACCCATGTCTGAAGAAAACGATTACCGTGCCATCAGTTGTGATTATTGCCAAACCAAGTATCATAATTGCTGCGGACAGAAGACAGGAAAGTGGTTCAACCTCAGCTGGTTCTGCAGCACTAGGTGTCAAGAGATCTTCCTCAGCATTGACAATATTTTGGGAAAACCAATCCATGTGGAAGACAAGAACTTGACATGGACATTGCTCAAGTCTATAGAGTCCCACCATTTCAGCAATCATCTTCCTGATATAGAGGAACTCAGAAAGAATCAACAGAAACTGGAGCTCGCTCTCGATGTGATGCACGAGTGTTTTGAGAAAACTAAAGATGTATACACGGGGAGAGATGTGGCAGAGGAAGTGATCTTCAGCAGAGGATCGGAACTGAATCGAGCGAACTTCAAAGGCTTCTGCGTAGCCGTGGTCGAAAATGAAGATGATATGGTATGTGCGGCGACTGTGAGAATACACGGAGACGTAGCGGAAATACCACTTGTTGCCACCAGATTCCGGTACCAACGACGGGGAATGTGTCGAGTTTTGATGAAGGAGCTGGAAAAGCAGCTATGGGGAATAGGAGTGAAGAGGCTAATTTTGCCTGCTCTTGTTGAGGCTGTTGATACATGGGTGAATTATTTTGGATATTCGAAAATGATCGAGTCTGAGAAACTGGCAGTTTTAGATCAAAGGTTTCTTAACTTTCCAGGCACTGTAATATGCCAAAAGTTCTTGAAAGATATCATTTCAGCAAATCCACTGGAGAAGACACGAGAAAATAGGCAACACCACAACAAGGTTGATGATTTTGATTGGTGCAGTTTCAAGAATGGATCATACCCACCGAAAGCAATGGAGAGGGAGGTTAAGAATCAAACTCCCATATTGGTGTAAAATTATGTAATGACTTTTATTAGTGAAAAAATAATGTAATAGTATTGTGAAGTTATTTAATGAATTTGATTAGTGAAATTATAATATAAAATTATGTAATGATTTGTCCTTTTGTTATTTCACATAAAATTGGTAGTTTTCTTGGAGATTTGTTGTACGTTTGTTTACATAAAGTCAGTTTAGACTTCAAAACAAGCACCAGTTTCTTGTACAAGCTTTAGCATTCCTCTGCGACAATTTGCAGCTTTGTGAAAATAACCAGGTCTCTTTTTCTTGTTATGCTCCCTCCTATATCTGCTGTTGTTATTGACTGGTTTTATCCTCATCAATCCTTGTGTTTTCTATCAATTTAAGTTACTATTATCCAGAGGTTAATTTTTGTTGCAAGTGTCAGAGGAAACAAACCATAACAGGGTACGTATTTATGTAAGTCCAGAAAAACTAGTAGTCAATTTCTCCATACATTATGAAAATGGTAATACAACAGTATTTCCCTTAGGGAAAACAAAACCTTCGGCTCCTGTAATCAACACCAGGAGCATATCTAGGGAAAAAGATACTAAAATTGCAAGCTTGCTTTATACAAACACATAAAACAGAAATCAACTTGGCGCTTAAAATCTCCTGAACAAATGGATGCAGACATGTGTGTCAATCGCTCCAATCATCCTGATCTTGGCTGGGAACATCCTGCATGTTCATCATTGTTTAAATTAAAACAATGAAATAGCAGCAGCTTGATATCTTTCGAGGCTAGACATTAATGCATGCAACTGGAACTTGGAATGAAATTTTAGAAGGCCAAAGAAGAAAGTGAAGATGAATACGTGTATACCATATCCTTGGAAATCAGTCTAGCAGGTGACCAGGCAAGAATTTTCCGATCATTGCCACCCGTATACAGTTCCTGAAGGCAAAGAGAACCCAGCTAGATAAAAATTGATTGGGATATTTGAGAGTTACAATAACAGCTGTATGATCATCTAGTTTTCATTGTTTCTTTTTTCTTTTTGGAGAAAACAAGAGAATAATATTAAAAGCCATCAAGGGATGCCACCCAAAATAAATTTATAAGAGGTCAGACGTCAAAAGACGTATCAAGATTCCCAAGTTCTCATTATAAGAGTTTTGTTCCGTCAACAATGCACTCAGCGAATGGAACCAAATTAACTCTTATTATACCTAAAGAGTCAGAGTCCTCATAAACTGCTCCACTCCTCTCTTTTACATGACTCAAACAATGGTTAAAGGGATAAACCTATAAAGTTTTCCCCTAGCTTTTGTTAGTTTCTCATAACAAAATGACTGCACCGCTATCAAAGGCTCTATCTTCTCTTTCACTTGCTCTCTTCCTGTTGTTAAACAAAATTTCTTTGAAAATTTAATCCAACTTCTGTAGAGAAAATCAATTCGTTTGAATGATGCTGCAAGCAAACCACTCAAAGTTATCTATAGGAAGAAGAGTAGAACAGGAAAAGATTGTAAAGGGGCAGAAGGGTCATTTTGTAAATGGATAGATTAATCTTTTACTTGTACCACTTGCAGCTGGGTGATCGGGAGGTTATAACCAATGGGGCAGTGGTTACTGCGGGCATAAAAAGGGGTCTGATTTGAATCAAATTAAGGAAAATATTCAATCAATTTTGTTTTCCTCTTGCTCTCAACTCTCTTTTCTTCCCTTCTCTGTTTCTCTTCTAAGCGAAAGTCAGAACTATGAGCAAGGTCTCCGACAGATGCCTCATCAAATTTAGAAGGTTAAGGTTTAAGAATTAGTATTAAAATCACATTGGTAGTCTGACCAAATCCCGTGCTCATAAGAATTCACGAAAAGAGATAGAGAAAACTAAGGATAAAACTGCACCTGATCCTGTGAATTAAACCAGCAACAGTTCACAGATTCATAGTGGCCACGAAGTGTCAGAGATGTTTTTCCTGACCAAATGTCAAATGCCTAGGTAATTTTAAAAAAAAAAAAAATCAGTTTCCAGGAATGCCAAAGATCGGTTGTCATATGTAAGGCTTATACCTTTCTTAAATAATATAACTGAATAATTAAGTACAGAACAATTAATTTACTTTCACAGTTGTCATGCACGGGACAAAAGCAAGCGCTGAATTATGATTAGTAGCTAACTGAATTGCTTTGCTAGTTTGTAGACGTGCAGTTTCAAAGTTGACAAGTGTGTTGCAACCAGATTCAACATCCCACAATCTAATTCTTGAATCTGACCCTGAGAGTGAAACTCAACGTCAGAGAGCTACAAATCACTGGAATGCACAAAATAAACAAGAAAAGCAAACTCTTAGTCCTTCAGTAACTTGTATGTCATACATACTTCAAAAAAAGGCAAAAAAAGAAGATAGAGAGTCATGAAAGATACAGAAGATGAGGAAGACAATGATTTTTTTTATAGAAAAAGAAATTGATTAGAAAGACAACAGAAAGTTACAACAATAGAAAACCAAAAATACTCTAAAAAGTCAAAGAAAAAGAAAAGGGAAGTAAATAGATAAGGAAATGCTAAAAAACTATTTCTACTCCTGCAGTAAAAAACAAAATAATATCTCCAAAAAACCATGAGCCTTCAAAACAGGAAAG